CAGACCTCCCTCCCTCCCTCCCCAGTCCAGCTCGCTCCACCTCCTTTCCCGTCGATCTGCTAGAAGAGGCGCCCAAGGACCGAGACTTAATCTCCCAAACACCTGTTGCCCCTGGCGGGGGTCTTGGTGAGGTCCCTGCCCCGCGCCCCTCTTGGCAGCCACTAGGATGCGCTCACTCCCCAAAAATGCGGCGGCCCCGCCCCCTTAACCCTCAGCTAGCTTGCTGCCGGAGGGACCCGAAGTCCTGGCCAGGGACCCGCAGGGGTGATGTGACAGGGGAAGGAAACTGGGGAGTGAATCCAGGGTCTGGGGATGGGGGACGTGGGAGTCCCCGAAGGCCGGAGGGGAAGAGGGAGAAGAGAGGCCAAAAGGTTGGAAAGAAGAATCTAAGGAGTTAAGCATCCTCTCTCCACCCTGGCCGGTCACTCTGCCCGGAGCGCGACCCAGTATAAACCAGACCTCGTCCCGGAGGACTGGGAGAGGTCCAAAACGAAATCCGAGGGGCGGGGAGACGGGGGGGCGTGGTTCTGGGGGTGCAGACGCCACTCCAGGCTCCAGAATCCGGTACCCCATGTCCATCTTCCACCCGTCTACCCCGCCCAGCTTCTCACCCAAGTGCGGGTTATCTGCACACCCCAGGAATGGAACCCAGCACCCCTAAACTCCAGCACCCGTACCCTTCGGGGGGGACATCCCCCCACTCTTCAGACTCACCAGCGGCCACCCCCACTCCAGCCGCGCTGTGATCTCGGCTTCAGCCCCCACCCCCCAGAAGAAAGAGTTGGTGCAGAGCAGGGTCTTAAGTCTTCAAGCTGGGGGAGACGGGGAGCTTGGGCTTCGGAGGGGTTCCCAGGCTAGGCGAGCTCACCGACTACGATGGGGCGGGGGCGCGCTGGATGGTCTGGCGGCTCCGGGGCATTGTCTAAACGGGACGGGGCGGGACCTCCCCATACCACGCCCACTCCGCCCTGCTAGGCCGCGCCCATTCCACCCCGACAACGCACTCCCCCCTAACCCCCCCCTACTTGTCTCCGCCCAGGCCCACCCAGATCCTGGCTGGCTTGCAAAGGCGACATGGACTACAAAACAGCACTCTAAGGGACTGACACTAAAAATGGCAGCTCCAGTACGGACACTTCCTGGATGCTCGGAACTTAAGATCTATGACCCTTTTCCTCATTTCGTGACCACTATACTTTGAGCCCCCTTGGTGTAAAAACAACACTGTAATTTCATTCCTTATTTTATTACTGAAATACATTGTCCTAGCTACCTCCCCACCATAAAAATCTTACCCCCATGCCCAATCTTCCCCTCCCCCTCCCTCTCTCTAGTCCTGCCCACAGGCTATTTTAGAGTGTGTCCATTGGAAAGCGATGAGAAAGCTACCGGGGAGAGGGGGGGGGCTCTGTAAAAAACAGATTGGGGGTTAAAGGAGCCCTTAAAAGTGGCTCATTTGAGGGCCTTGGCCACTTGCTCATAGGCCAGCTCAATCTCCTCATCATCTGGGCAGGTGGAGGCGAATTCTTCCCGAGTGTAGGCGTTGCTCAGGTACCTGTGCACTCCTCGGAATGCTTCTGGGATGGTGAATCCTCGGTATTTCTTACAAACCACCTGGGGTTAACAGGGAGATCAGCATGTTAGCCCCAGGCAAGTCAAGCTTGCTTTGAAGCTCTTGACCTTTTCTTTTCCCAAGGTCTAGGAGATAAAATAAGCCTAGTCCAGGCCTGCAAGACCCACACCATCTCTCTGGTTTCTCTTCTATTTAAAAATTTTATTGTTTGTTTTGTGGTTGGATGTGTGTATGCCACAGAATCCACGCGGAGGTCAGAGGACAGCATGCAGGAGTCAGTTCTTTTCTTCTATCATGTGAGTCCTGGGGATCAAACCCAGGTCATCAAGCTTGGGTGCATCTCACCCTGGCTTATCTTCTTACAGATTTTGTTGTTTCTAGACAGGGTCTCTCTGTGTAGCCCAAGTTGGCCTGGTCTCTGTCACCCTCTGCCTCAGCCTCCTGACTGGGATGCCATTATGCCTAGAGTACTCTTACTGATTCTTATCAAACCTACCATTTGAAATACCCTCCAAAATGACTTCCTCAACTCCCCACTTATGTTTTTATCTCTTCATGTCCTGAAAATCTTATTGTTAATAACCAGCTCCTTTCCAGACGATTCATTCCATGCGTGGTCCAGGCTCTTGGGAACCTGGACAACAGCTCAGCAGTTAGGAGGGTGTACTGCTCTAGTATAGAAGCTGTGTTGGATTTCCACCATCCATGCTAAGCAGCTTACGACTCCAGCTTCATGTGGATCCAGTGCACTTTTCTGGCCTCTAAGGGCATCTGCACTCATGTGTACATACACATACATAATTAGAGAAAGAGGGAGAGGGGAAGAGAGTAGAGAGAGAGAGAGAGAGAGAGAGAGAGAGAGAGAGAGAAACAGAGACAAGAGAGATATAGGCTAGGATTGTGATCCAACCCTGGGTTCCAATTCCAGCACCAAAAAAAAGAAAAAAAGAAAAAGACAACCAACAAATTGTAAAATCCTTTTGAATTTTCAGTGAATTTGTTCATTTGATCTTTAGTCATGTATTATTAATTTTCATGTGAATATTTCATCTTACCCTTTGTGGGGAAGGATAAATCACCAAAAATCTTTTTTATCTTTTCTTTCCTTTTATTTTTGAGGCAGGGTTTCCTTGTAACCCCAACTGGCTGGAACTCTGTATAAACCAGGCTAGCCTTGATTTCAGAGATTTGCCTACCTCTGCCTCCACTGGATTAAAAGGTGTGCATCACCATTCCCGATTTTCCCCTTCCTTCCTTCCTTCCTTCCTTCCTTCCTTCCTTCCTTCCTTCCTTCCTTCCTTCTTCCTTCCTTTTTCCTTTCTCATTCTTTCTTGTTGTTTGAAACTGTAGCTCAGGCTGGCCTCCACCTGCTGAGTATGGGGCTTACCAGCCCGAGCCCCTTTGCCTGACCCTTTGGCCTCATTGCCTAGTGCTGCTCAGTACTCAGCAAACTGACACTGGGCCCATGCTTTATAAGCTGCATTGTAACCTTAAGGCTTTGACAAAAGCATGGGGAGCAGCAAAGTTCCCCTTCCTCGAGAGGAGATGGAGGCTGAGGCTACAGAGCTGCAGTCTGGACTCAGGAGAAGCCTGCTTTCTGATCCGAAGATATGGCAGTGATACAGACAGGAAGAGCCTTCTTGAAAGTAATGCTGAATACAGATAAACATGTGCATGCCCATACACACATAGTCACACTGGAATTGAGTCTTGATCAGACTCCATGTACCCATGGCCTGTATCATAGAATTCTCCTAATCGAGCAACAATTTCTGAGGACTAGACTGGGGTCGCTGGGCGGGGATCCATCATTGGTAAGAATCTATGGAAACCATCTTTTTATTTCTTTTGGTCTTTTTGAGACAGGGTCTCCCTGTAGCCCCAGCTGGCCTGCAACTCACTATGTAGACCAGGCTGGCCTCGAACTTACAGAGATACACCTGCCTCTGCTTCCCAAGTACTGGGACTAAAGGCATGAGCCACCGTGTCCAGCAGAAACCATCTTAAGAAGTCACCTTGGGCCAGTGAAATGGCTCACTGGGTAAAGGCATCAGCAGCCAAGCCTGACAACCTGAGTTCAATCCCTGAAACCCACAGGGCAGAAGGAGAGAACCAACTCTTGCAAGTTGTTCTCTGACCTCTACATACCACTGCCCCCCCCCATGCACCCACTCCTACACACACACATACAATAAAAAAAAAGTCACGCTGGGCGTGCTGTCTCACACCTTTAATCCCAGCACTCAGGAGGCAGAGGCAGGCGGATCTCTGAGAGTTCAAGGCCAGCCTGGTCTACACAGTGAGTTCCAGGATAGCTGGGGCTACAGAGAGATCCTGTCTAAAAAAGACCAAAAAAAAAAAAAAAAAGTCACTTTAAACAGCCATCCCATTGTCCCCTCCCACAGCGACCACTCACCTGTACTATGTGAAGCTTTGGCAACAGGTTGCAGTCAGCCAGGGTAAGCTCATTGCCGTCCAGAAACTTCCTCTGGGAGATGCCCTCATCTTCAGCACTGGTTTCATCCACTTCTTCTGGGAGGGGGGATGTCAAGTAATTGTCTAAAACCTTCAGGGCTTTCAGAAGCCCCTTCTCTAGATCTGTACAAGAGAGGAGGTTGGTTAGAACTTTAAACATTGGGTCAAGACTGTCTGAAGGAGAAGACTCAGTTCGGGTTGGGGCTAGAGCTCAGAGGTGGCTGACCTGCTTAGTGATGTGAGGCCCTGGATTTCATTCCAAGCACAAAAAGTGTGCTTAAGTAACACAGAAAACCAACTAGACCGTGTTTGCTATTTTTTTTGTTTTTGTTTTTTTGTTTGTTTGGTTTTTTTGAGGCAGGGTCTCCCTATAGCCCCAGCTGTCCTGGAACTCACTATGTAGACCAGGCTGGCCTTGAACTCACAGAGATCCACCTGCCTCTGCCTCCCAAATGCTGGGACTACAGGCGTGTGCTGCCACACCCAGCTGTTTGCTATTTTTTAAACTGTGTGTGTACATGTGCATGCAGGATGGGTCTGGAAAGATGGCTCAGCACCTCTCTTGCAAAGGACCTGGGGTTGGGTTCCCAGCATCCACATCAGATGGCTCACAACTGCCTGTAACTCCAGGTCCAGGGGATCTGATGCCCTCTTCTGGCCTCCATAGGCATTTGCCTTGCACGCATGAAGTACACATGCACACACTCAGGCTAACACAAATACATACACAATCGAACACAAGCTGAGCATGGTGGCGCTTGCCTTTAATCCCAGCACTCAGGAGGCAGAAACAGGCAGATCTCTGAGAGTTCCAGGCCAGCCTGGTCTACATAGGGGGTTCCATACCAGCTGGGGCTACAAGAAGACCCTGTCTCAAATAAAAAACAAAAAACAAAAAACCCAATAAATAAATAAATAAATAAATAAGCCGGGCATGATGGCGCATGCCTATAGTCCCAGCACTTGGGAGGCAGAGGCAGGTGGATCTCTGTGAGTTCCAGGCCAGCCTGGTCTACATAGTGAGTTCCAGGCCAGCTGGGGCTACAGGGAGATCCTGTCTCAAAAAGATCAAAAAATTAATTAAAATAAATAAATAAGTAAACAAAACCAAACCAAATGTGTACGTGGGTACATGCCTGTGTGTGGAGGTAAGAGGTCAACATCAGGTTTCTTCCTCAATGAATCTCCACCTTATTTTTTGAAACAGGGTCTCGCACTGAACCTGGAACTCACCAATAGGACTAGGCTAGCTGAGATTACAGTTGCATACCCACCACACCTGGCTTTCTATGTGGGTACTGAAGATCCAAACTCAGGTCCTGATTCTTACATGGAAAGCATTTTACTAGGCCATCTCCCCATCTTCCCATCTTGTGTTTGCTATCCCCCTGCCCCCCCTTCCACTGCTTCGAATTGAACCCAGGGTCTCATACATGCTAAGGAAGCTCTGTGCTACTGAATTACACCCTCAGCCTCCTTATCAACTTACAAATAAAACCTCATTTAATTTTCATAGGAATCCAAGAAATAGATATTATTCTCACTGTATTGATCTGGAAGTAGATTTATAGAGGTTAAGAGACTCCCTCAGAGTCATACAGCTAATACACTCAGGTAGTCTGGCTTATTCTTAAACATAATCTTATCCTATGCTAGGCAGTGGCCAACTAATGTCCTCTCATTGGAAACAAATGAGAGAGGTTTAAAAGTCCCTGCAATGTGGGGCTGGAGAGATGGCTCAACGGTTAAGAACGCTGGCTGTTCTTGCAGAAGACCTGGGTTCGATTCCCAGCACCCACACGGCAGCTAACAACTGTCTGTAACTCCAGTTCCAGGGGATCCAAGAGCTTCTTCGGTTCTCCCAGGGCGTTGTACAACACGGGTGTACTTACTTACATGCAAGCATAACACTCATACACATAAAAAAATAAATAAGATTTATTTTTAAGAGTCCCTGCAATGTGAAGGTAAAGCAATAATGAAGGCTGGAAGAGGTCTGGCAACATCTCCAACTCCCTGAGATCTGAGCTCCCAGGTGCTCCTGATGCCTCTCACCCCTGGAGTTTTCCTGTCTAGGACCCAGGTTTCTGATCCACAAGACTCACTGTCATTGAGTGCTGGGTTTGAATTCTTGATGTAGGCAGAAAATTTGGCAAATATGTCCAGCCCGGCAGTGTTGGACTCAGGGTTCAGAGCAGCCAGCTTCGGGTACCTGAAAGTCAGTAGGAAACACAGGATAGATTCCTTTCTGGAGGAGCCTCAGCCTCATTGCTGTCTCTGTTTTGAACCTCTGTTTCAAGAGCCTCTCAGCTCCCCTTCTCCCTGATCCATACCTAGGAGGAGACAGCACTGCCTCCAGAAATTCCTCAATCTTGTTGGTGTCTGTGTGGACTTCGGTGCCGTACAACAGGAATGGGAGCTGCCCACCCGGGCACAGCTTCTGCACTGTCTCTGTTCGCCTGGAGAAGGGGCCAGACATCAGGACCGGAAAAGGGGGTCGGGGAGAACCAGAAAAGGAACTGGGAGATGTAGGGGGAGATGGATTTGCTTCGGATGCAAGGGAACAGATTTAAGATGGAAGGACCTATGTGGGTGGGTATGTACATGCGCCCACACAAGACATGTTTAAGGGAAGGGAAGTGAGCCCACCTCTTGGTGTCCACGGTGGTAACGTTGAATGTGACTCCCTTGAGCCAGAGCACCATAAACAGTCTCTGGGAGAAGGGGCAGTTCCCAATCTTGGCCCCATCACTGCCAGCCTGAAAAGGAACCCCAAAGTTAGGCCTGGTGCACCTGACTCTTCCCAGGTCATTCTTGGCACCTCCTATTCCCAGACCAGCTATTTTCCACCCAGTTAGGACATACACTGCCATCTCCACTAAGCTATCCCCAGAACTAGGTTCTTTTGGGGCTTGGGCTGAGTCTAGGGCACATAGATGAGTACGTTTCCAGCAAAGGTAGGTTTATGGCTTCCCCAGGGATTGGTAGGTGGGAGGAGGTGGAGGAACAGGTCTTGAAGAGCTTGGAGGATCTGAATCCAAAGTGGGGAAGAATTAAATCCGAATCAAAGTGGGGGGCTTTGGTGAGGTGAGAACTGGAACCTAGAGCCTAAGACAGAGCAGAGGTTAAGACAGGAGAGGTGGGGCAGACTTTGGAAGCCAGCTTTCCGGTTCACCACAACTTCATCCAGGCTGTCTTTGGCATGTGGGTGGAGACTCAACTGGTCCTAAGCCTTAGAGATATGGAGGGCCTGACAGAGGGGGCTACTTTCTAATTGGATATGGGTGACCTCATCCCCCAAGGGAAACCTCCCCTAGACTGAGGGTGATTCATCTCTGCTCTGTGTCTGGGGCCTCAGCAGCTTCCTTCCCGGCAAGGAAGTGGGGGCAGGGACCTATCTATACATGTGGAGGCCTGGGCAGCAGAGCCCTACGCTCTAGCTCCCTAAACCCTCAGCCCTCCGCTGCCAGGCCTCTGGGCACATATCCTCTGGCGGTATCCCTCACAGGACCCAGGGCCTGAATCTCTATAATGCCTCCTCGCCCAAGAGTAAAAATAGCCCCGGAGGCAAGTGTGAGAGTGTGTGAGTTGGGGACCACACCTAAGGGGGCGGACCCAGGATCCGGATGACTGCCCTGAGCCTAGAAAAGGAATGGCTGCCTGGGAAACCCCAGCATAAAGGACAGAGAGAAACAAGCAGGACAGAGAGACCCAGACAAGATGAACAAAAGGGAGGTGGGAAGTGGTATAAAGTGGGGCAGGAAAAGAGAATTTGCAAACAGGGAGACACAGCTAGGAGAGGAAGGGAAGGAGGGGCAGGAGATCCCAAGGGGGAAAACCGCAGTCCTGGAAGGGAGGGGACTGGGCAGACTGGGAGGGCTGCGGCCTCCGGCTTCCGTACCCCAGCCAGGGAGCCGTCTGCCCCCATCCACATTCACTGAAAGAGCCGGAGCAGGCGTCTCCTACCGCCCGTTTTCACCTAGCCCAGGTCTCCTCAGAGCTCTCTCCCTTACTTAGTATCTTCACAGTAACTATTGCTAAACTTTATCTCCTCCCTGCCTTTCCGTCTCTACCTTGCCTCCATCCCGCTCTGTCATTGCTCCAGAATGTTCTTTTCCTTCCACTATGCCAGGTCTACCTTGAATCTTCCCATCTCTCTCTCTCTCTCTCTCTCTCTCTCTCTCTCTCTCTCTCCTCTCTCTCCCACCACCACGCCCCAATCAGTCTCACTCCTGAAAAACCCCTTTTTCTCCACCTTCCTCTCCTTTAGGCTTCTGGAAACCTCTCCTACAAACTTTTCAGGGTGAGTCTAGAACTCTCTTTAGGGACTTGCCCCCCCCCCGACGCCCTCCCCCCCCCCCCAGCAAGACTGCACTGGGGCTGGGGGTGGGGTCACGCAGAAAAGGGGTTGGGGAGTAAAAGGCTGGAGTAGTCGAGGCCAGAGGAGGGTTGGCTTGCAGGAACCCGGAGGGTACTTAAAGGAGGGTGTTCTTACCTTCACGAACAGTTCGACCTGGGGTTGATCTTCAGCCATGGTGGCGACGGGGACCAGGAAGCGGACGTCGCTGGGGGAACTGGGAAGGGCCGGGGATGGCGGGGGACTCTCTCCTGCAGACTCAGGGCCTTCCCTTGGGCGCAACCGAAATCGGCTGACTCTGTCCTTGCAGACACGGCTTCCCCACCGGCCCCCAGTGACTGCACCACCACAGCTCCTCCACCCCGGTACCCTCCCGGTGCAGCTCCGGGAGCAGCTGACTCACCGCCCCGCCCTGAACCTGGGGAGGGGACAGGAGGGGGCGGGACTGGGCGGTCTAGGGAGTGGGCTGGGGAGGACCTCCGCCCCTCCGGGTCTCCTGGACCAGCGGAGATGAGGATGACCTGAGCAGGGAGTCCTGGGAACTCCCTGGATTCTCTGATCACTCCTGAACACAGCACCTTTTTCCTGCCTCAGTTTCCCCCGTTGTCTCCTCTCATACCGGGAAACGGGGCATTAGTAAACTGCTTATGAACTTTCAGAAGTAGGTTCTTAGAATAGAAAGGTCCAGACTCCAGTGTCCTGTTTTGCTAGGACTCTGCTCTGGGGCAGCAGGATTGGAAAGAGAAGCTGGGATTGGGGGATGGGGGGGTGGGGTGGGGTACCAGGCATGGGCAGGGAGGAGACCAAGAGGCCTGGTACAAGGGAAACAGGAAGCTGAACCCATCCTGTTCTGCCCCCAGCCTCGGCCCCTTGCCCTCTTCTCATTGATAGGTTGCCTTGGAGATGGCGTGTCAGGTGGGTTATCCTGGCACTAGGATAGCTCTTTCATCCTGGGGTGGGTGGCGTAGCAATTGGTTCTATCAGGGGAAGAAAGCAAAGGTCAGACAGAACAGGGTGAGTTGAGGGGTCCAGGGGGAGAGCCCAGAGGACCTCTCTGGCTCCCCAAGAGCCTTGATTTTGGAGGTGCTATCTAGCTTTGTGACCAGCTGGAAAACTGCAAAATATGTCCCCCCATACTCCAGCCTCCACAGTTTAAATTTCCCACCTGTCCAACTGTTCCCTTTCTGTGTATCCAACAAAAAGACCTCCAGTTAGAAAATACGATGGGCTGGAGAGGCCTGGAAGCAAAATGGGGCCAGACACTGAAAGACAGAGCTGGGAGGGCTGGGGTACAGTGATGGACGTGTTACTGGAAACCAGCAGTTAGTGGTTTCCGCTGCAGTTTCCTCTTCTGTGGGCTTTCTCCTACCCCGGGGAGGGCTTATCTTTTGCCTCCCTAGAAAAATGGGTATATTAAGCGTTTGCTCCTTTGAGTTGCAACGTCCCAGAAATGGGTCCATGAATTGAGTGTGCAGTCCCACCATGGTGACCCTCCACAGGACCCCATCCTACTGTCAAAGCAGCCCTCCTTCCCAGAATCCTCTTCTTTCCCACTGATCAGTGACCACCAGAGGGTCTGCAGCACAAAGATGTCTCGGTGAGAAGCACGGGGAAATGGGGCCAGCTTTAGACTCAAACAGGTTTGGCAGCCTGTCCCCTGCTTGTCTTTATAGCCACAGCTGCCCTGATCATCAGTATTGACTCTGCCTGTCCAGAATGGCTACCCACAAGGTATCTTGCCTTAACTCTGCAGGCTGCACTCTCCAGGAACCCCTCACCCCCAAGCAGGAACCTCATAAATTTGAGGCCAGGAGCTTTGGGTTAGGGTTAGGGTTAGTTTCCCTCCCTCCCACCTCATCTCCTTGCCTGTGCTTTACTGTTTCACCAGCTCTAGGCCTTCTCTTTCCTTTCCCTTTCCCTTCCTGCCCTTGGTAAACCAGTCCCTAATCTCTTCACACCCCAGATTGGAAGGTGTGTCCCTCCCTACCACTCCTCAGAGCTGTCACCAGCCTCCTCTGTTTCCTAGCTCCATTGCTCAACAGTTTGCCAAGAGTAACCATTAACCTGGCCCTTAACTCTGCTTCCCCTACCCCTGTCCCTTTGGCGAGGATTTTCCAGTCACTGGTCAGCACAACCTCACTTCACAGCATCTCTCCTAACCTCAGGCAAGACTGTCTCATCTTAATGGACCTGGAACATTACTTATTTTATTTTTTTAATTAATTATGTGTGTATGTGTATGGGCACAGGTGGCGCATGTGTGGAGGTCAGAGGACAACTTGTGGGGAGTCAGTGTTCTCCTTCAGTGTGAGTCACCAGGATGGAACTCAGGTCATCAGGCTTGATGGCATGTGCTTATACCTGCTGAGCCATCCCGCAAGCCCTAAAGGATTTTTCTTTTAAAGATTTATTTTTATTTATGTGTTTGTTTGCCTGCGTGTGTGTACTGAACCACATGAGTGCTTGGCTCCTGAGGAGGCCAGAACAGGGCATCAGAGAACCCCTGGAACTGGAGTTATGGACAGTGGTGTGCTATGTGTGCCAGGAATCGAACCCGGTTCCTCTGCAAAACCAGCCAGTGCTGTCAACCAGAAAGATCTTCTCCAGTCCCTCTAAAGGATTTTTTTTTAAAGTATATAATTTTTTCTCCCTCAGAAGCTCCTTTCTCCTTCCTCTCTCCCATCGAGGTCTATCACCTGTCCCAGAGCAGGCTCTAAATAAATAAATAAATAAATATGAATGAATGATACCCTCTGTCCTTAGGGGTTGAGTGGGTCAGGGTGAAGACACATATCAATAGGAATGAGTGTTGTTGAGTCTACTTTCAGAATTTAGTGTAATTCGAATACTTCCACTTCCTCTTCAGGGGGCCCCTGAAATAATCAGGTTCTTGTGGGGGTGATGATACAGGAAACAGGCAAAGTAGGGCTGAAATAGAGTCCGGGTTTGTCCACTTTATTTATTTATTTTATTTTCTGGGTCTTTTTTTTTTTTTTCTTAGGTCTTTTTGAGACAGGGTCTCCCTGTAGCCCCAGCTGGCCTGGAACTCCCTTTGTAAACCAGGCTGGACTTGAACTCACAGAGATCCTCCTGCCTCTGCCTCCTGAGTGCTGGGATTAAAGGCGTGCACCACCACATCAGGCTTATTTTTGGGGTCTTTTTGAGACAGGGGCTCCCTGTAGCCCCAGCTGGCCTGGAACTCACTATGTAGACCAGGCTGGCCTTGAACTCACAGAGATCGCCTGCCTCTGCCTCCCCAATGCTGGGACTCCCACTTATTTATTTAAAACACTCATGCAGCCCTACCTTACTTTGTTTGCTAGGCACTGCTGTAAGTTCTATATAAATTTTAACGCGGTGGGTACAAATATGAACTGAGTTGTTGTTGGCACAAGTTGAATTAAAGTTGCTTCTCTCCACTCTTCAGCGACCAAGAAAAAAATAAGGCTCTGGCCCTTCAAGGTGGGCCTCCTCCCAGGGGCTCTCACCACTGGACAGACCCTTTCCCAAGGCTAGGACTCAAGTCCTATCTGTCAATCAAAGCCAGAAGCCCCGCCTCCAAGTGCTCGGCTGCTAAGCAACGATAGAGGGCGGGAATTTTGAACATTCTGGCACCGCCCCTAATGTAAACGGACCAATCAGCGCCTATTCTCGTCAGCCCCTGCTTTCACCCAGTTGGATCTCTGGGCAAGATCCCCGCCCCTCGGACCAATCACAGCTAGGGGGTGGGGTGAGTGCGCGCGCACTCCGCCCACAGCCCTGCGCTCGCTTCCCGTGAGCGAGTGGTGGTTGGTAGGTGAGGGAGGCGCGTCTTTCGCTGCTGAGGTAACGAAAAAGGCGGGAAAAAGCTGGGAGGTGGCGGCAGCAGTGGGGCAGGGACCAAAGCGTGAGGCTGTGGGCGTGGGACAGAGACCAGAAGTGACAGCTCGACCTTCCGAAGAATGACAGACGTGGGGGTGGGGCGGGAGCGTGGAGATACCCCCGCCTCAGGCAATCCGGGGAAGTCGTCCTTGTAATGCCCGCCGTGCCCACGCCACCACAGGTCCTGCCCGCGTCATCTCAGGTCCTGCCCCGTCACTGCAGGCCCCGTCCTGTCACCACAGGCCACGCCCACTCCACCACAGGTCCCGACCGCGTCACCGCTGGCCCCACCTCGTTACCGTAGACCACGCCCACTCCTCCACCGGCCCCGCCCCGTCACCTCGGGCCCCACCCACGCTACCACAGGTCCCGATCACGTCATTGCAGGCCCGGTCCCGTCACCGCAGGCCACGCCCACACTAGCACAGGTCCCGCTCCCTCGCCGCGGGCCACGCCCACCGGGTGGACCTGAGTCCCCTTCCTCCTCTGTTTCTTCAGAGCCCATGGCTTTCCGAGTGACCCCATGCCTGACGCCAGGACCCGGACCCGGGGCGGCCTCAGCCGGCTTCCCCAGCCCCCAGGTCCCAGGAGAAGACGGAGAAATGGACGAGGACGAAGAGGAAGGGGCAGAGGTGTCTGGGGGTCCGCGGGGGGGGGGCGTGGGCAGGGCAGGCCAGGCGGGACGGCCCCTGGCTCCTGAACTGACGGAGGGGTGCCCCATGCCTATCAGAGATCAGTAATAAGGCCTGCCACACCCTGCCCGCCTGTGCCTACGTCTCTCGTTTCCTCCCTGGACAGGTCCACCTGTGTGTGCTGTGGAGCTCAGGATATCTGGGAATTGCTTACTATGACACTAGTGACTCCACCATCCACTTCATGCCAGATGCCCCCGACCACGAGAGCCTCAAGCTTCTCCAGAGAGGTGGGGATGGAACCTCTGATTCCTCTAGGATTGGAACTGTGTTCCTGCCTAGGATCCGATCTGACTTACTCTATTTATGATCCTATTTTGCTTTCAGGAATTCATTATTCAACAGGGTTTTTTTTTATAGGTATTCACAATGTATTAGGTGCTACAGTTTTAGTCCTGGGCAAATCGGTCATGGCTGTCCTCCAAGGGTTTAGTCTAGTGACAGTCTCCAGGGCAGCTGTCTTCTTTCCCATCAGCCCAACAGTTTTTTTTGTTGTTGTTGTTGTTTTTTTAATTTTTGTTTGTTTCTTTGTTTTGAGACAGGGTCTCCCTGTAACCTCAGCTGACCTGGAACTCACTAGACCAGGCTGGCCTTGATTTCACAGAGATCTTCCTGCCTCTGCCTCTTGAGTACTAGGATTTAAGGTGTGCGCCACTACACCCAGGTGTCTTTT